GACACAAGACGACCACAATCCTGCTGGACGGGAAGAGGGTCAAGTTACAGCTGTGGGATACATCCGGCCAAGGAAGATTCTGCACCATTATAAGATCTTACTCTCGAGGTGCCCAGGGCATCCTCCTTGTGTATGATATCACCAACAAATGGTCATTTGAGGGCTTAGATCGATGGATGAAGGAAATTCAGGAGGTGAGAAACTTTTACTGTATTTATTTACTATTCGTAAATAAAAGTAATTGATAATTTTTTTGTCAGATGCAAGTGTTCTTTCTCTTTAACAGGGACAGACGTCAGAAAAGTAGCCAAAAATGCAAGACTTTGATGATATTGGACTTTTTAGTGTATTACCCTTGAAAGATCTTCTCAATGTTTACCTAGGCCCTCATGATATTTTTAGGGTGTTTAACTTCATGGAAGTAACCCTCTAAAGATGGTTTTGAGTTATCTTCACAATATACTTTGAGTGGTTATTTAAAAGAAACATTTGGTACAAATATTGACTGTACATAATTCTGCATATGCTGGATTTTTTTTGTGTAATTCTGAATATTTAAGAGAGTGGGATGGGATTACCCCTTCCCCCCAAAAAAAAAGTCCAGATAAAATCTTGGAAAAACTTCAATTTCTCTATGAACAGATTTAGTGTTATTTTCACTTTGAAGAATCACTAGACATTTAAGATTTTAAGTTTTGTTCCTGCCAAATTTTCTTTAAAATGTGCTTACTGTATTACTTTGAGGGGATATTTTGAAGAATATTTTGTTATGAATATTACATTTTTGTAATCCTCCATATGCTGAGGCTATTCTTTAGTGATCCTAGATATACTGAATAATGATAAGAAGAGAGATGATGATAATGGTAATAATAGTAACAGTAGTAGTTGTAGTAGTAGTAATGGTACTAATAGTAGTGATGATGATGAAGATAAAAAAGTAGTTGACTCTAACCATATCCTATCAACATATATTTTTTATCAAAATGAATGTGGTATGAAAAAGATTGTAGCACATTACATTGTTTAGATAAGTACTGCCATTACACAAGGTGCTTTCGGTAAAGCTAACATTAACCCGTTTGACTTGGTAGTGTCATGGAAATCATGTTGCTGAAAACACAGGTAATGGGTTATATAAGTAGCCAACATCCTGGGTGTGTGGCACGTAGGCTGGGCATGCATGAACACCCTTGAGCAGTGACAAGACTCTGTCTCCCCTTTGCAAAATTCATTTGTTTAAACTTTTTTAGCTTTATCGCCATTTTCCAATGTCCATATTTGTCTTTAGATTTGCTTTATCCAGATGGTAAAAACTTCTTTTCCTTGCACACACTCCATATTATCTCTCTATGTAGTAAATGGAACATTTGGTTAGTTGTCATATATCTCATTTTTTCGTAATTTTCAATTTTACGTATAGAACCTGCACCACCAGTCACAGCTGCCAGGAATATGGTGCACAGCATGGAAATGGCATCCTTCCTGGAGCCAGTGCTCTTCCAGTCACTGCTTATGCATGTTAATATTCCACATTCATTTATCAACTTGGCCAAGTGTCAAATCACACTTCAAGAGGTTTGTGCACTTGTGGTGAGTCATTTCCGTCACCCTGGCCTTCGCTCATGATGGCAAATTAGTGTCACCTAACCTGTGGCCATTTTGCCTGATGATGGCATGTTCACGTCACCTGCCCCTCGACTAGTTTTTCCATGACGTGACCACAATGTCATTTGGGTCCAATGGGTTAATTTTTGGAATTTCAAAATTTGCTAATTTTGGAGTCTATTACATAATGCCATGTTTCATGGCATGTTAGACATGGGTATACTAGATGTATCCCCATTCCAGTAGGGTGTATAAAAAGTACCTGTGGGAAACCCACCTCCCTATACAATGCTTTTTCAAAAAAAAAAAAAAAAAAAAAAAAAGGGAAGGGGAAGAAATTGTGCCTTATATGCTGTCATATAAGGCAATATACATAGGTCTGGAATGTATGAAAAAGAAACTTTGAGATTTCAAAGGGAGGATAAATATTCTGGACTTTCAAATTCTTTATTAAAAAGAGAAGAAAAAATTCCACTGTGAGATTGGTCCCCCTAATAGCTAAAGACTGGAAACTGCAGGAATCTTCATTGGTTAACTAACTGTAGTTAAGTATAAAACTGTTAACTTTCCTTATTTTGAAATTAAAATAAGATTCAAAGTTCTAGGATGAAAGGAAAAGAGTCCAACTAACGTGTGACTACAACCACTTTAAAACAACATAAGGAATGGGTAATAAACAGAAAGTATTTTTCAAGAAAAGAACTGAAAACTGAACTGTAATTCTGGAATTTCTCTCAAATGATTAGTTAAATGGTTTTGTGATGAATATAACGTTATTGCTCAGTGGGGATCACCATTACTTTGCCTTTTTGATTGAGATATTGTAAATCTACAAGATTATAAGCATTTAATTGTGCAATCAGTTATTTGATCCTCTTATTCGTAAGCTTCTGAGATAAGGGATGCCTCCTGCAACCTGCAGGTTGCTCACCTTCATATCGAAGGAAGGCCTCTCCGCTTAATATTGTCATATGTAAGATCAGACACACCTACCTGCCTGTTGCTGTACTTGTCTTGGCATTTTCTTGACAGTGTCTACAGTTAGTTTTAGATGAACCCAGCTGACTTCTACTCCAGCATAACCTGTGTTGACAATATGCCTGATGGGCTCTGCTGGTGAGGTAGGCATGTTCCTTCATGGATGCTGTTTTTCCCAAGGATAGCAGGATGTCCGTGGATGGGATTTTGCCACTTAACAACTTTCCCATAACGGTGTGAACCCTCGTGGCACAGTATCTATCTTGGCCTCTTCGTATAACTTTGTTGTGATGGTCACTCCTTTGTGAAGAAATGCTGGACATTTCTCAGCTTCATAGCCGCCTGGTACAATGATAAGTATGACAGGCTTTGTGAATGATATTTCACTCCTTAAATGTTCTGTAATATAACAAGAAATGAGACTCATGGCTGAAAGGAACACTGAAACATGACAACCAGGTTTTGTGAGGGCACCTTGCACAACACACCGTGATGTAGTGTCTGCCCAACATTGAGTAGCCCCATTATACAAGTTTGCATCCTTTTGTCCAGGTCATACTGTCCTGACATCCTAGAGACTACACCATCCTTTACATTTCTGGAAATCCCCAGACATTTATAAGATTTAAATAAAAAACTAATTAACATCTCTGCAGGCCTACCCTAAATTCAACTTTTGCACAAAATATAACAATTATATCCCATCCTCAAAAAAAAAAAAAAAAAAAAAAAAAAAAAAAAAAAAAAAAAAAAAAAAAAAAAAAAAAAAAATGTAAGAAGATATTGAAACATACCTAACAAACTATGCATCAAGGTGTGCATACTGACTTGGAGAAGGAAATGAAATCAAAACAGTACTTGTATATAATTAAATTTAACTAACTACCTTTGCTAATAGTAGGTACTATTATGAATAATTAGATTGAATATCAAGTGAAAGAGGAGTTGATGACATATTTTTAAAAACACTGAAAAGTGTTTGTAGAACAGAAATTTTGTGTAGATGTATGGAAGCAGGTATGTAATTAGTTCATCTAATGGTAGAAGGAAAGGATTAGAACAGTTATGCTCAGTTTTATTTTAATGACCTACTCGTATATTAATATTATGTGTGCTACTTACATGTAAGCTATTTTTGTATATACAAGTCCAAAATTGATTGTTTTACATGTTACATTATATGTGAATTGACAGCAATGTGTGATATATATGGCTTTTATTTATTATTTTGTGTTATTATTCTAAAAATGGTATTCAGATTGTTTTTTTATTTATTTCAAAAGCATATTTACAGGTTTAAAGATTTGTGTAAATTACTGCAAAGGCATACAAAAAAATTAGTTGTCACTAATCTTTTGTATTTTTTACAGCATGCTCCTGGTGTGCCGAAGGTATTGATTGGGAACCGACTTCACCTAGCTTTCAAGAGGCAGGTGAGCCAAAGCCAAGCAGAACAATATGCAGCCAAAAACCACATGAATCTATTTGAAGTTAGTCCACTGTGTGACTTCAATATTGTGGAAAGTTTTACAGAACTCTCACGGTTGGCTTTAAAACGGAATGGTATGGAGAGACTCTGGAGAGCGAATAAAGGTGAGAATATTGGGAAAATGAGACAAAAAGTTCTTGTTGGTAATCATAGATTTGAATGTTAATTTTTCTAATGGAAAAGAAAGTTTAAAGTATTTAAACTAACTGCTGAGTTTTTGTGATTTACATGTGAATTATATTAGTGTACAAGAAAAGAAAAAGAATCATTCTTATGTAAGCCATCTATTTACAGTGTTAACGCTCCAAGAACTTTGCAGTAGAGCCATAGTTGCAACAACAACTGTGTATGGTATTGAACACTTGCCACTACCACACTCAATCAAGTCACACCTCAAAAGCTATACCATCCATAATCATGCTACAAGACTCAGACAGGTAGGATTATGATTGCAGATTTACTTATTTATTCCTTGATTTTGAAATTATGGTATGTTAAATTTCATTTTTAAAGATACAAAAAAAATAAGGTATTGATAATTTTTTCTGTGGTCTTGAGTGTTTTCTCTTCTTTATGCAAGAAAAATTCTTCAGGAATCAGGAGAACATGAAAGTGCCTTCTGAATTATGTATATATTGGTCTTATTTTTATGATTTGTTTATTTTTTATTTCCAGAGATCTTTTCATAGGGTCTCTTGGTCTTCAATTTTTAGTTTATATTTTGTTGATATATTTACCTCCTGGATCTGGGTGCTTCGCTACCTGCATGTAGCCCAAAATCTGGGTATTAGACTTACTTGAGTAGCCACTCTGATGAGTAGTAGTAGTAGTAGCTGGTGGGCAGGTGGCACATGAACATTCATGTGTGGTAATAAGAATCCATGCCTCCCCTTTGCAATATCTATATTTGTCATTTTATATGCTGTATTCAGATGGTAAAAAAAAACTGTTTCCCTTCCACAGACTCCATAGCATCTCTCTAATTGTTCCATAACTCATTACAGAAATGATAACAATAAGTAACAGTTTGTTATTTTTATAATTTTCATGTTTTTATTTTTTTTATTTTTTGTAATTTTCTGCAATACAACCAGTGCTGCTGGCCATGGCATGCAGGAATAGGATCCTGATCATGGAATTAGCTTCCTCCCAGGAGCTGGTGCTTTTCCAGTCATGGTTCACAGATGGTACAATCCACACTCATTTATTGGTAGAAATAAAGGAAGAGCCCCTTCCTTACTACCCACAGAGCTTATAGCACGACTGGCAAGTTATACCTGTCACCCTGGCCTTCAGCCCAAATTCTTATTCATGTTCCCATCACCTCGGCCCATAGCCAGTTTTTTCCTATGATAACGTCCTCCTATCACCTGCCCCTCAAGCCAAATTTTTTCCGGACGTGATGGTCATGTCATCTGGATTGTAGGAGTTTATAAGTAAAAATGGGAAACATATTTCTCGGATATGACTCAGACTAGTGTTACACAATATCTTATTCTTCCACTGATATACTGCTTATACTGGATACAACTGTTTGATTTGAACATTTTGTCACTATGCTCAACCAAAAATTCAAGCAGATATGCTTACAGATCTGCAAAATGTAATATTAAGACCTGCCCTTCCCTATATGCTTGTAAAACAACCATGAAATGAATAATGATCAGTTAATATAAAATTCATATAAAAACTTGTAACTTAGAAACTTAGAAAAGTCCTTAACAGAGTTAACCTAAAAGGGCATTTTTATTTTGGTTACATAAAAATGTTAGGAGCCAAGAATGATAAAATTTAGTGTATTCATATCTTGGTTTTACGGCCCCCCTTTTAAGGGGAAGAGTTGTTGGTACGATCACGAAATTCGTTATTTGATCCTGCTTACTTTATTTTTTAGCTAGGTCAATATTTTTTTTACACAAAGTGCATGGGTATGTGATACTTGTATACAAGAAATTTGATTAAAAAAGCTGCGTAAATTTTTGCGCAAAAAAAAAAAAACGAGCGAGATGATAGAATTCAAAAATTACGTGATGGTTTCCTTATAGTGAATAGTACTGCAGTTTCCTTCTGATCAGACTTAGTCAACAAATAGGAGTACAAAATGTAGCATTTATGTAAATCTATCTGAAACGACAATGTTTCAGTTACCTTGCAAAAAAGCGCATTTTTTTCGTCCGAAAATCGCCATTATTTTTTTCAGTAAAAAATGTATTTGGTGGAAATAATGCATGACTTTGCTACAGTTAGTAGATACGAACTGGACGATCATTTTGCAACAAGAATTATTAAAATCGCGTAATTACATACAAAGTTAACCTTACTATCATGCGTGAAAATATGATTTTGAGAAAATGGCAGTTTTTGTCATTCATCGTCATTACATCATAAAGGTCATACCAATGATTACCAAATGTGAATATCTACTTAGACAATACCTTGGCCTTTAATATGAGTCCTGTGGTAGAGGGTCAGGCCTTGTTCAGGTAATTTTAGGTCATCTTTATGTCAAGGTTAGGTTAGGTTAGGTGGGAGTGTTCTCTGAAAAGTATACTTTCAGATGTCAAGGCTCCTGGTTCCTCTGTCATTTACATATCCACATGTGTACTCCTGAAAACTTTATCAATCGCACTGTTCTCCCATCCTTGCTGCTGCTGCTTGTCTGCTGAACGCAGCGTAAACTATCGTACAGCAGTATCATACCAAAGAAATTCGCAAAACAGCCGAAAAAATGCTGAAAATACAAGAAAAACAAAGCATGAAGCAAAAAGGGGTGTGGCAGCACAAGGGCATTTAAATACCCCAGACCTTTAAACCGCGGAAAGGAGCGTGTTACACATCTGGCAACCGGCGCCCTGGGTGCGTCACATGGTCATGTATCCACACACAAAGTTTGAAAAAATCGTAATTTGTGAACCGTACTGACGACTCTTCCCCTTAACGGACAAAATATAGATCAGCCTTTTTGGTAAGTCATGCAGGCTGCAGTTGTTGATCTGGCAACATTTGATGTGAGCTTCATGAGCTTATCACTTGGTGGAAAGGGCACTTATTTTTTTTGTTCTTGTGACCAAGGTCTAAATAAAGTCAGCTTTCTTCTGCAATTTGGCCAGGTAAAGTGTAGGGGGGAATTGTGATAAATATAATTGGCATTATATTTAGCAAGCATGATTCTTTAAGGACAGACTATTGTAATCAATTGTAATGAGTGGGAAAAGTGGACTCCCAAGTGGTTATTGATAGTATTTCTTTCTTTGCATATTCTAGAATTCAAAGTAGGAATATCATCTCTCATTTGACTTCAAGGATAATCTAAAAAAGTTACTTGATTTACATTCATTATTTGTGCTTTAGGAACTGAAAATCATTTCGGATTGGTAACATGGGCAAAAGATGTTGCTAGTACGGGGGCATGGGTGTGAATGATGCTGTAGGTAGACCCTGCCTGCATGGTATTTTTGCTCTTTTCTCTCTGATTTGGTTATTGATGATAGCCAATATAAACTTAGTGTTGGTAATTTTGGACAATCCGCATTTTCTGTTAAATGGAGGTATGAGTGATGAATGGCAGAACATTTTACTTGTGTTGATGATATGTCAGAAAGAAACAGAAGTATTAAGGAATCACTTTGTAGTAAACATCCATATGTATAGTGTCCTTTTTTTGCCATAATGCATTATTTTGATATAAGGGAAACAAACACTGAGGCTTTTAGATATATCAGAAGTACTTGATAAACATGGGCCTGAAAACCACTAGTGCAAATTCATATGATATGCCGCAAGGTGTATATATATTAATTATGAGTCCTTTGTGTGTTGTTGTTGTTTTTTTGTCTTATATATTTTATTTCTCACAACAGGGGATTCCATTAACTGATAAGCACAAAAAGAAGCACCTGATGATCCCAGGAGACACCACAACATCCTGTGTCAACACTTCCACATGTGTTATCTGCTAGTCACAACTTGGGGTTATCTATTGGTGATTTGCCAAGTCACAGCCTTCTTTAACCTGTCAGCTTGGAGTTAAATGTTATTACCATATCAGCTCACAAGTCACTGTCACCTGCAATTCTTCATTGGCTGTTGTTGTTTGTGTATGATAGGATTTTATGATATAATATAGAAGATTCAGCATTGGCATAACTATATAAAGATAAAGAAATTTATTAATGAAATACTGATTTAGTGTGATAGCACGATGAAAGTTTTGCTATGTCTATCTTTAGCATCTATAAGTATTAAACATGAAATACACATGATGTCATATATACAGTTAGAATTATAATCAGTGTAGTAGCCAATGTCATTTTTGTAATTACCACCATTAAGGTATCACAGATCGTGTTGAAATTGTAGTCCATGTACAGAAGCATTGATGCCTGATATGGCTTATGATTAATCTCATCATTGATATGTGTATCACTCTACAAATTCATAATACACAAGGTAAATTGTTTAGTAGCTGCAAACAGTTTTATGTCTAGATAAAAAGATAATTTTCTAGATGTGGAGCTATTAAATTGTGTAACCAGATTCTGAAATAATTTTTGGTAAGTCTGCATATTGAAGGTTTATTGTGGACATGATGGAATATATTTATTTGAGTTTGAAAATGAAGGTTTTGAAGTTTCATTTTAGATATAAATATATATTTTTTATGATTTGATTAAGATTGCTGGTGACACTGTGTATCATAAAGTTAATGATATAATGATCTGATATGCTAAAATTTAATTTTGTAACATTGTATATTACAGTGATTTTCAGTTGCATGTATGTAATGGAAGATATATTGTAATTGAAGTGTGAAAGAAACCAAAAAATGGAAGGTGAGATATGGCAGTTGATTGGCAATGTTCAAATCAAAGACTCTAAAAGTACTTGTAGTAACATAAGTGAAATTACAAGAAATATGTGGTTTTGGAATACTGAAAGTCTATTTCCTATTACAATATGTGATACAATGATGAAAAAGAGTTGTGCTCAGGTGAGGGGTAAATTCTTCTGAATAGGGAATTGACAACAAAATTTACCAACAGTTGTATGAAAGAGTATGCTGTAGAAAAAAAACAGTAATATGATGCCAATTCAACATGTATTGCATTGATACAAAATGCCCTCCTTGCTTACCTGTAGAATTTGCTGAGACATTGCAAGATAATGATTGCAGTAATTAAAAATACATATATATAACACAGCTTCACTGCACGTTATTTGCATTATTGTATTCATATTTCAGTTTTATTCATAGATGCAAAAAATGGAAGAGAAACATTGTTAATGCATACCTTTGTGTTGTGTTTTTATATTTACATCATGTAAGGCACTTAGTGACTTCAACTTTCTATATTTGTTTTGAAGATGAGTGAAATTTTTGCCTTTAAGTATGAGTTCTACAAAGGATAGAAAGACAGTGAAAGATATTTTTAGTACATTATAATAAGGATACTTAATGATACTTATTAAAAGAGTGAAATTTATAAGGATAGAACATAGGCAAGATTGAGATTATACTTAGATATTAGGATGATATTCCTTTTTTGTTTGTGTTCTTAATTGGCTTCATGTGGCAGCTTTTTCTGTGATTAGTCAGTTATGTTTAAGCTCAGCCTTAATTGTCTGTGAAAAATACTGTTGTTCTACAGGCATTTTGCATGTAATTAATTTATTAATCCATGGGCAATACCTGGAAGAACAAATGTTTTTGTATTTTGTGTTAGGTTTCATAACTCATTTTCCTTTTTAATCTGCTTTTCATAATGACATAACCATTACAGTTTGGCACTAGCTGAGAAAATTCTGTTTTGCAAGATGCAAATATTTGCTCATAAATATTATTTCCTGTTTTGTTAATTTGGTAAGAAGAGTAGCTCTTTCAAAAAAAGAAAAAAAAGAAAAGAAAAAAAAAACTTTTGTTTTTGGATAGTATTTTTTTTTCGCTATATAGTTGTGTTACAAAATCACTCATTCTTTTTACCATTTTATTAGGTCTGGTAGCTTTTCTGTCACGTTTGCTTCTGGGAAATAAAGTAATTTTCTTCTAAACAGTATTATTAGATAAGTAAAGTTTTGAAAATGAAAATTTAGATATTTCAGTTTAGTGTTATTGAAATATCTTATATTCACAAATTAATTATTTTGATTGTTTACAATTCCTAGGGAAGAAATGAAAGAATGAGTATGGTCAAGGTTGTAGGAGAAAGTAAAGAAATTCAGTATTTAATAATAAAGCTTGAAATCAAAGAAAGAGTGAGTATAAAAGCATTTTTGTTTTATAGATTGCTTGAATGTATATGACATAAGAGTTGTGGTATGCAAAATTCAACATTTGTTTAGAAGGAAGATCGTAAAACTGATAGCATAGGGAAGTTCCTGCTAGTTGTGTCTTGGCAAATATCATACTCTGACTTGAGGCAACCCTTCTTACCCCACAACTGTTGTCCAGTCTTTAAATTGCCCTTTAGTGCGTTTGAGCCCTCCTTTATGTCACATTATTAAATATTTATCTACCCATTTTTGCACTGTTTTGAAATGGTTCTCATACTCCAGTACTGTCACTATACTATGCCAATGCGAAATGCTGAACATCTCATTTTACAATTTAATATATGCTCAACAGGAATCAAATTCATCTGTTCAGATCCCTGATTTTGTCTAGTGTCCATGATCAGTTTCTTTTGCAATATGAAGTAAATGTATCAATGTTTCAGGGTAAAAGTTTGCAAGTACAGGCATGAATATAATAAATGGAGTATGTAGTATGAAGGAGGGCATAGAATATCAGATTTGAAGATTAATGAGGATAAATGTTTTTTTATGCAACTGTTAAAATGTATGTATGCAACAGAAATATTAGCATCATTCATCACAAACCAAATATTATGTAACCTGCATTATCATAAAGTTTATGACATCACTGTTTCTTGTTAATGGCATGTTAATGTTTGTAGTTTTTAAGAAAATATTTGAAGATCCTTTATAGCACTTGTTGATGTCACTAGTATTTCTTGAATATTTTCCCTGTTTGTCCAAATGAAAAATGAAAGAAAAAAAATACAGAAGGTAAAAAGGTATGTTCAATCCATTTTTAAGAAAGTCTGAAGAACGTGAAACAATGTTTTGTTAAAGTTTTAACATTTTCTGCATCAGATGATGGTAATGAATATGTCCAGTTATAAGTAGTTATCCATGGAAATTGAGTAGAGGAGCTGTCTTATATATGCTGCAGGTAAGCAGCTATGGTCATCAAAAAGGATGTTGAAAGTGCACCTGAAAATTGTCACTCCACTCTGGTAAGGTGAGCTGTG